TGTTCTGATAACTAATGCGAAGAGAAGCGACAAAAGGTAAGAATAAAGGGCTAAACAATTTACACAAAAAAGAAGATACACAAATGGCCAAAAGATATAAATATCATGAATCATCAGTCATTAAACCACAGTGAAATGCCAGGATGTACACCCTAGAATAACTAAAACGAAAACGAACAGCAATTTGAATGTTGATGCCAGTGTAAGTAAGACAATGGGAATGTCACATGTTGCTGGTGGAGTTCTAAGCAGTACTACCCTTCTGGAAAGCACTTTGAAGTTCTTACACAACTGATACTCTTACCATATGATGCAGCAATTCCATCCCTAGGTAACTACCAACACAAATGAAAACACATGTCCCACAAAAACTTGCATGATGTTCTAGCAGCATTGTGTTAACAGCTCCAGAATGGAAATAACTCAAATATCTATCAACAGATGAGCGAATAAACAAATGACAGGTTACCACTGGGGCACGTTTGCAGCCCACCAAGTACTGGGTGCTATGGAAAGACAGCAATGAAAGTCCAGAGCCAGGCCAAGGATCTCGGAGGGGTAGCAGTTGTAGACACCTAGATCATATCCAGTCTCCCTCCCTCCCTTCCTTCTGCCTGCTTCTTCTTTTCTTTTTTTTTTTTTTTAAGTAAAGGCTTTTGTTGTGATTGGAGCAAAGATAGTAGCCCCTGGTCTTGCACAAAGCAGAGTTTCTCCACCACCTGCCATACATGGGATGCTTGTGGCTCAGCGAGACAGGGCCTGCTGAGAGCAGCCTCCTACATGAGTGCCTCAGCCAGGCACACCCAGGTTCAGAACATGGCTCTGCTAGCAGCTGAGCAAGTGACTTGACCTTCCTTTGCTTGTTCATGAAGTGCTAGTAATAATACCTATCAAAGGACAGTGGCAGAAATATGATGCAGGGTTTCCTAATAACATTAGTGTCTAACTTTTACTGAGCACCTAATACATGCCAGCTACTATTGTTAATGACTCGACACACCCATAGCCCACATGTGGCTCAGGGTCATAGCAGAGGAAGAAATAGGTAGGGAGGTGGCTCCGTTACAAAGCCCTGGAATTACAGTTCAAGCAAGGCAGTGTGGCAACACCTAACCCATGCAACGTCCCCAGACTTGTCACTCAGGTATCACTCTTATTTCTCTACACCAGTACAGCCTTAATATTAGCCTTATTATAAGCATACATGAAATTATGGGTTTGATACGGTGGTTCCTTTTCAAACACAAATTATAACAGATACACAAAGGTAGAAGTATAAGGTTCCTTCAGATACTTTACCAATGTACACATGCCATGCCGCAGAGACACTGACAGTGCACAGGACAAGTCCCTTGAGCTCTGTGTGGCACACGGCATGTAGAACAAAGATCCTGAGCCAGCGGGCTGTCACTATCAGAAGGGCAGCCTGTTGTGGCAGAGCTGAGGAAGTTCCGCCATGACTGCTACGGACACGCTGAAACTACAGTTTTGCTCCATCATGCCACAGAGGAGCAATGTTCTCCACGTGTTCAGATGTCGAAGCAGTTGGGCCAAGTGAAAAGTGGGCAACAAGCCAAGGAAACGGGTCTCTTGCCACACTGGCAGCCATTTGGCTAAAATTTACACCTGAGCGCTATGCCAGAGATGGGCTTTCTATGGACCAAAGCAGTTTGTCTTTTCTTCTTAAGGGCATAGCCAGGCATTTCTCAGACTCTTCTACAGTCAGGTGTGACCGCAGGACTACGTCTAGCCACAGGGATTTGGCCTGGCCTCAAACACTCCCTTTGCAACTTTCCACATGTTCTTTCCCTGTTCACTGGCCTGATGCCCGGAGTCCAACAGGAGAACCTGAGCTGCAGCAGAGCATGCAAAGCCACTGCCAGAGAGAAGGTGTCCCTGTCTATGTGCGACCCAGCACCTCCCGCCTCCCACCCAAATGTTCCTATTACACTATGATGGTAGACATGAAAGGGATTTATTTTTGTGTTAACACCATGGCTTGAATCTAGGAAACAAAAGGCTCTGGATCTCGAATGGCTCCCCAGAAAGCTGGGATTGGTGAAGGCCCAGGTTAGGGTTGTGGATCATACAGGCTGGGTCTTCTGTAGTCCTGACTTGCCTCACACACCCCCACACTCTGCTCAGGGAGAAACACTGGCCTGGCAGGATGTCTGAGACTCTGACTGCATCAAGCCTGCAGGATGCTTCATTCTGTGAAGGCTTCTTGTGGAGGCTGGAGCACCTGAGAAGCAGCCAGACCGTAGGCCAAGAGTGCCGGCCAGGGCAGGGCAAGGCCAGCCAGTAGTAGCTGTTTCCTGGGCTGAACTGTACCACAGGTGAGAGGGTGCTCTCAGTTTCAGGAGGGACTTCTGACCCCAGGAGAAACTCAGCACACAGGGGACAGTGACCGTCTACAGAGCGCACACCCGCTCTGGGCCAGGCTCTGTGCTGGATTGTAGACTCATAGGCCCTGACCCTGCCTTTTACAGTGTAGCAGGAGCACAGACATTTATCAAGTATTGTGCACACACATTTCTAAAACACGACAAGTCCCTGAAATAGCTCCCAAGGCTCTGAAAGTCAGGGAGCTAGGAAAGGCCTCCAGCGGAGGGGACAGCGGAGTCCACGTCTGGAGGTCGGCATGGAGAAGAGAGGAGACAGCTCATACAAGCCTGAGACTCAGGCTGCAGCGGCTCCTCTGGCAGGAGCCACAGGAAATGGGGTTGGACTTTATCCTGGGAGCAGAGGATGCCAGTGAGGGCTTCTCGACAGGGGATTAGATACACACTCTTACAAGCTCACTGTGGCCTATGTATGAAGCACAGAGGGGGTGAGGACAGGCAACGCTGTGGGGAGGCTGGGGAGCAGGAGACTGATGCAATTGTTTGGGGGCTTGGACAGGGCAGGAATATACAGTAGTGGCATCTCTTCCTGCACTAAACTCTCGGGTACCCTGCTGGTGCCATGGAACACTTGCCCATGTGCTCTGGGTTTGTGGTGTAGGCAATCAATAGAACGTGTGCAAACTGTTTGTGACAATGCCTTCACCCAGCGCCCCAAGGCCTCCCTGGCCTTCACACCCTGACTCTGAGCCTGCTCCGTATGCTCTGCCATCTCACTCTTGTCAGGCACAGAGCTCTTAAAATCCGCCTCCTGCTCCCCACCACCCTGGGAGCCTTCTAGATTGATCAGACTGCAACTGACAGCTTCACACAGCCCTTCATCTCCTCTTGCTCCCCCAGATATGGTTACCCTTGACACAAAGACAGTGACTGTAGCACTTGACAGTGTTTTTCTGCCTGATTTAGTGGCTTTGATGGCAGCCTCAGCGGCCTATGTGTGTAGCTGTGGGACAGTAAAACCTCTCACTCCAAACATATTTCCTTGGCACAGTTCAGATGGGTCATGGAGGGAAACTGTGGACCCTACAGTGACAGGAATGGCTCTGAAAAGCTTGTCTTTTGTAAAAGAAACTTACAGACATCTGCCTTAGAAAGTGAACAGCAGACGCAGACAGTGGCTTTTCTACCCGATGTCCTGGCCTGCCTGAGAGAGATCTTCCCATAGGCAGGAGGAAGACACTGGAGACCTGACACCTGGCACAGACAGCTCTCTGCAGGTGGCAGGTGGGAGACTTCACCTGCATCACAAGAACTCACCGTGCTTGCTGCACGCACTCTCCACTCCACCTTCCACAGCCTGTACCACCTCCCTTCTCCCCAGGAGAACCTCCCGTCCCTTGAAGCTCTCTGTAAGAGTCAGCCCACCTCTGTGCTTTAGGCAGGTAGTAAAATTGGAATGTTCTTCCTATCTATTGTCAGTTCATTTTATCGACTAAAACTATCTGATCAGAGCCTCAGCTGACTGCGGGCAAGAGGATACAAGACTGCTGCCAGTATCTTTTATCGACTAAACTTTAACTATTTCGAGTTAAAACTTCCCTAGAAGTCCACACTAGTGTTTCCACTGGGCAGGGGCACACCCATTTCTACAGTCCCCCGTCCAGGGCCACAGCACACAGCAGAGGCACCCTGGGTGCTCAGGAGGGGCAGTGCTTGCAGCGCATAGTTTGGCAATTGTCAAGAGTATCACTCCCTCCTGGGGAGAGAGTCAATCTTCAGCTTGACACATGTGTCCTGCCTTTGGAACTTTGGGTTTTCTTTCTCTCCTGGATACAAAGAAAGAGCTTTGTGCTTGGCAGTCACCTAAAGTTAGCAATTAAGTTCTGCCAGGAGAATTTATAGAAATTTTTATAATTCATAGAACTGAAATGGGGGTGGGTTGGGGGAGGGGAGATCTTAGATCTGGTTCCTTAGATTTAATGGATGAAAACCTTGAGAGGCTGTGGGGCAAGGGACTCACTTGCCTGTGGTCACATGGGCATTGCGGGGCAGAGCTGGGCCCGGCTTTTCTTTGGGGGTCCACTGTTTTCCCCACTGCCCACTGAGCCTCTGAGGCAGGATGGACCTTTACCTGATAGAGACACCAGCTTCTCCTTGCTGAGTACCTGGAGGCCCCAGGCTGCCTGTGCTTCTGCCCCTTGGGACAAATGCCAGAAAGCCACACCGGAGGGACAGCAGCCTCACGCTGATCGCTGTCACCATCGGGGCTGGGTAGCTTGTAAGATCAGGATTGTGCAGCTGTGTGTTCCTGTCTTTGCCCACAGCTCCCCAGGGGAAAGCAGCCCCCTGCAAGGACCAAGCCTGGTTCTTCCCTCTCCAGTCTGAAAGCTTCTAGGACCTGGAGCCCAAGGATATTCACCAGCTCCCGCTCTGTGTGCCCCAGAGGGAGATACTGGCAGCAGTCTTGTATCCTCTTGCCCGCAGTCAGCTGAGGCTCTGATCAGAGCAGATGGGGGGCTCTGTGCGCATCTTGGCCTCGCCCGCCTGGGGCTGTGTGATCATGGTATGGCTGGCCAGCTGGGGGACAGCTGACCCCACAGTGGCTGTGACAGCTGGCTGACACTGGTCTTTCCCCCTTTCTCAGCACTTGTTGGTTATCAACTATGGGCACAGCTCAGTGCCTTTCCTGACTGGCTGCCAGCGGTGTCCCTGGTAGGAAAGCTGAGATGGCTGATGTGGGCCCAAGTCTTCATTCATGGGTTAAAAGCACACACTCTGGAGCCAGGCTGCCTGGATTTGACCCTGGCCCTACCGTTTGCTGGTCATGTGACCTTGGCCTGGTCCTCTCTGAACTCCATCCTCCTCATTTGTGGAAGGAGGATAGAAACAGAACGGAATATGGTGCCCTTACAGGGGGCAAGAAAAAAGGATCAAAGAGCTGAAGTGTGTAACAGGGCGGGCACACAGCCACCCCTTTCTCTCACTCTGAGAGGGCAAGCAGAGAAGGGAAGGGGAGTGTCTCCGGTGACCCTGAACCCGCCAATGGACAAAGCAGGCGCTCTTTTCTAGTCACAGGCTGATCTTCCCACCAGGGCCCCACTACTGTGGGCACAAAGTGGCAGCAAGGAAGTAGGACAGCGGCCCTGACCTCTGACTGCCGGTGCTGAAGGGGCTCATGGGGGTTCCTGGAGCAGAAAGGCAGGCCAGCAGCAGTTACAGGGCCTGGGGAGTGTGGGTTTTTGCTTCCCATGGGGGCGGAAGAGGGGCTCACAGGTGGGACAAATCCCTGGCCTGCGAATGGAGACCTGGTTTTCATGCTGCCTCTGCTGTCACCTGGTGGGATCATTTTGGGCAAGTCTCCTCCCTCTGTGGCTCAGGGGCCCCTGTGTAAGGGGAGTACTGGGTGAGAGCAGCATGTCTCACAGAATGGTTGTATAAGGACTACTCAAACCGGAAGTGGGGTGGTACCGAGACAGAGGTACTGACAGGCCTCCCTGCCTTGAGCCCCTGGCACTTCGAGAGGGTATGTGCGCTGTGGTCCCTAGGAGTCATACTCCCTTGTTCCCACCTTACTGGATGAGAAGTGAGCTTCACTGTACTGGCCCATGGCACTGGTGGTAGCAATAGGCCATATCCTAGCACTCATGATGGGGGAATTCTGGGCCACAGGAGCCCGGCACAAAACCACAGGGCTGTGGCATGAGCTCACAGAGAAGCTCATTTGTGACTGAGCTCCAGGGGGGCTCCGCAGCCCGTGAGGACTGGGCGGCGTCTTTCTCCGCACAGGAGGAGGGCTTCTCTGAGGAGGCAGGAGGAGTACTGGCCTAAAGGCTGAGTGGCCACAGGAAAGTCTTTCTGGGAAAGCTGCTGTGAACTGAGGCCCAGCCACCCCAGAAGTACAGGGCCGGTGGAGACTCCTGTCCTGTGGAGGGAGGGTGGGCCCTCAGTGGCTGGTGATGGCCCCAGTTCGAGACTCTATGTTCTGGGTCAGGGGAGAATCCCTGGGTCTTGGATAAAAAGTAAATCTGAAACCAACTGACTGTCATGACCAGGTTTATCGAGCAGACTTCCAGTTACTCAGAATCCCCAGGTCAGTCCCTGTGAAGCAATGCTTATCCATGGCTCTTCCCCCAACCTAGACACCTCTTGGCCCATGTACTCCTTGGTTGGACATAAAAGGCCTTGTATAATCCAGCCCCTCTCCTGCAAATAATGACCTTGTGCTTCCCTGTTTCCTTTTGCTGCTGGTGAGAAGGGGTAGCTGGAGCAGCTGTAGAAGCTGCAGGGGAAACAGAGACCCTACAAGCAATAAAACAAGGAGAAAAATGGCAACCCCATATCACTTCTAAGCCACCCAGGTAAGAGAGAACTGCATTTCTATCTTACTTATTTTGGGGTCTTTGCTATGGCAGATTAGCCTGTGTCCTTCCTGATATATATGCTGGTGTTATTTCATCTTACAGGTGAGGAAACTAAGGTTCAGGATAGTTAAAGAACTGCCTGAGGTCAAAAAGCTAAAAAAATGAGAAGCCAGCTTTGTCGCTGGCCTGACCCTAACCCTGGCTCAGGACCAGCACACTGACTTCACGTCAAGGGTGCATGCTGTGGTTCTCCAGGAGAAGATGCACTAGACCGTGCCGTTATTGCCAGCCTTCTTGCTGCAGAGTGGAACACTGCAGCTGGGCCTCAAGAGGGAAGTCAAAAGTCAAGGACTTCATCATTCGGGTCCACATACAGATGCTGAAAACAATGACAGAGCCACCAACAGGTGCCCGCCTTGCAGGACTGCACCAAGAAGCCACCCTGGCCTGGGGTCGGTACCTGTTTCCCCTTGGCCAGTGGGCATCAGGGAAGCCAGCTGGTCTTGGTACTGGGCACTGGGCAGGAAGAGGGGCTGCCATGGGAATGAAGCAGGGAAGAGTAAGGAAGCGGGTGGGGAGAAGCAGAGCCCCCACAGAGCTGGAAAAGCTGAACCAAATTTGGCCGTGAGCTATTTTTGGACTGTGCCCTGGGGACCTCAGACCAGAGATACTGAAGGAGGCAAGTTTGTTTGTGCAAATGATCCTAATCCACATCTCAGGAAGCCATGAGCCGCTCTGGGCTGACTCAGAGAGAAGCTGAGCAATGGCCTGCTAGCACTTGTGAGGCGACTGTGATAACGACTACGCTACGGGAACCACTTGTGCTGGGTGGTTGGAGATGCTGTCTGGACCAGAATGGGTCCATGGCACCAGTGGTGGTAACACGCTCCTGCAGTATTTGGTGATGCATGCTGCACTGCAAGAGCTCTTGTTCATGGTTATTTGACCATCAGGAACCTAGAAGTTACCCCTAATTTACAGATGAGGGACCTGAGCCAGGGCTGGACTGAGGGAGTAGCTGACAGAATACCCAGAAGGGGCTGGAGTTGGGGTGGGGATGAGGGAGGAGAGGTGGCAGCTCCCTGGATGCCTGCTCTGAGGTGGTTTTCCCTGAGGGCGCCTTGTGCAGGGAGGCCTGGGCTGCTGCTGTGCTCAGGGTCGGGGCTGTGTACTTGGTATGAACAGTGGGCCTCCACCTGCTCCCCAGCAGATACCTGCATTGTTTTGTATGCTCTATGCGAGGCAGTCTGCCAAAGGGTTCATAGAGTGGCTGGGTGATGTGGCACAGAGGTTTCATGCGACGTGGCCTACCGGCAGACCCGTGATGAGGCCCAGTTCTCTCTCAAGCCCTGGATGTCTGCGGTGGCCTCTCAGCTTATTTCCCTGTTGCCACTCTTGCTGCCCATCTCTCTACTGTCTTCACCACAATGAGTCGCTTCACAGGTAAGCCATGCCTTGATTTTAAAGCCCACAGTGGCTGCTTCTTGATGCTTGAGGAGCAAAACCAAAATTCCCTCCATACTTAGAAACTCTTCTCACAAGGCTGCCCCTACCTCTTTCTGACTTATCTCTTGCCATGGTCCCCTTTGACTTTTTGGGTTCAACCATACTGATCTTTTTTAGATCTTCATGGTGGGCCAGGACTCCCCAGCCCAGCGCCTTGGGACTGCAGCTCTACCTACCTGAAACAATGCCCACCCCCTCCTTGCTGTTTGCATCAGCCATGCCAGGCCCTTCAGCTTTTCGTCAGAAGCCTTTTCCTGAGTGCAGGTCAGGCCAAATACAGTGTCAGGACACACAGAGCTCCTTGAAACTACTTGGACGGGGGTGCTGAACCTGTTCACCAGGTGCTCCTGCCGGCAGCACACCTTTTGCTTTTGTTTGTAACATATCCAGTGCTTCTGTGCTACTGGTGCACAGAAGGACACAGTACCTGTTTCTCAGACGAGTGAATGAATGAGTGGCCAGATGCTGTCCGGGAGAGGAGATGCGTTAGACGGAGGGGCTGGGGATGGTGCAAAAATGAACACAGCAGCTGCTGTTGGGGAGCACTTGTTCCCCACAGGCTTTGTGTTAAACACCCCCTTGACACTGGGACCCTCGACACGTGGGCAGAACTGTCTCTAGTTTCCCAGGTGAGAGTCACACAGCCTGGTCTGCTGCTCTCCTCCATTCTATGTCCCTACAGCATTCCTGGCTCTCACCCTGCGGAACTGCCTTGCCTCCCTGGGCACGCCCTCTGGAGCTGCACCTGCCCACCTCCAACATGACACCCTGAGTGGCTCATTGGGAAGATCCCTGCTGGTTTAGGAAGGCTGGGAAAGACCCAAGTCTTCTTGAGAGACCTCCCTCGCCATCGGCTCACCTCCCCTCTTCAACATTAACTCCTCCACTAGTCCCTGAAGTAGCCCCTGTACAAAGATAAGACCAGCTGGCTGAGTGGTAATGAGTGCTGTGTCCATGTACCCTGCCCTCTGGGGGGCCCTGGCTGCCCACCTGGGAACAGCAGCATAGTTATCTCATAATCTTGTCATGTTCGAAGCAGTTGGGTTCGCCCTCTATTGCTACCACGTGAATCCCCTCCTTCATAGGGAAGGCAGCGCTGGTGGGGCCAAGGTCAAGGAGAGATGCGGGGATGGCTTGTGAGGGCTTCCCCAGCACCTGTTTGTACTGACCCTGTTTCATTTTTCATGACCTCTTGGTTTTCCTATGGGACATTCACTCTTGTTTCAGGAACCCCTCAGCCAATCAGTCAGATCACTGCATCTCCTTAATCAGAGATTGGTTCAGAGGTGGGCTGTGATCCAGAGACTCCCAGGACTGGGTGGTACTCAGGGAAGACACTGCACAGGTGAGCCTTGTACTCTGGGATGTCCCAGGATGCACACAGGGCTAGGAACAATGACTTATCTGCTGTAGCTTACTTTCCGCATGGTGGGGGAGCAGGTTTGTAGAGTCTGAGGTGAAGACCACACAGTAGGATGAGGTGGAGAGATGGAGGGAAGCCAGGGACATCACCTGGGCTGGTGAGTCAAGCCTCACCTCCAGGTATACCCCTGGACCTCACCACCAGGCCAGCTGATGCTTTTTGTTGTTTTAACAGTCCAGTTTGGTGTGTCTTTTGTTACTTGTAGCCAAGAATATTTTAACTGTGGAGGGGTCTCGGAGTGCTGACAGACCATGGTTGGCTGCCCAGTACGTAAAGAGGAAGGGGGAGGAGCTGAGTTACACAGGCACAGATGGGTATACAAACAGCTGGAGCAGGGAGAAGGGTACTGGTTCTGTCTTTTTAGGAAAACCACACTGCTTTGGTTTCAGTGTTACCCAAAGAGTTCCTCACCTGGAAGTAGGGGAGGTTCCTAGGCCACTGAGGTGTGCCTTTGAAGGGGACAGTGGGACCACAGCCTGTTTCTTTTCTCCTTTTGTTCCTTGGTTCAGGATGTAAGTGAGTTTGCTCTACCATATGCTCCCTGCCATTAGCTACCTGGCAGGTCCATCAGAGGCCCCAAACAATGGGACTACCCAGTCTTGACTTAGAACCTGCAAAACTGTGAGCCAAAATAAACCTTAATTACTTCAGATATTTAACAATAGTCATAGAAAGCTGACCTAGCTCACATGTGAGGTACTGAAATTCCCCTATACTCGGAGTGGAGCCTCCTAGCTGGGGAGAGACACAGATATCGCCTTGGCCCCCCCCACCAGCCCAGGACTCACAGCCTCACCCACATGCTGCTGCTGCCGCAACTAACCTTTTCTCTGTCCCTGACCCCCCTCAGCATGGTAAAACTTGTCCTACTGGTTCCTTAGCCTCCTCAACAGTGGTCAAGAAGGACTATATGCTTACAAGAGGCTCAAATATGGGGGCATGGACCAAATGAGGTGCTACATGTAGTGAGGAAGAGAACTCTTGGGGTGAAAGGTGATGGTGTGCAATGAAAGTTCTAACCTGTGTCCCATTAAAGACAGATGGCTGGTACTGTACTGTGAAAGAAAGTCTTTGCAAATCCTATAATTATTTCTTAGAGAGCACAATTATATTCCATTGTATTTGTGAGGGGTCCAAAGTATTAATTTGTCAAATATATACACTTAACAATATATCATAATTTTGTGACTTTGTTATGAGAGTTTCTTCATTTTTCAATATTCTAGGAATCTCAAAATATAACATTTTATAGGTAGGCCCCTCTCTGCTGTTCACCATGTCTTCTAAGACAGTGAGATCGCTTGGAGATTTATTTATTATCTTAAAACAACTACTCTGAGCCCAATGGGATGTCCCTGAACTGTCCCCCTGCTAAAGACAATGCTGTCAGGTCCTGCTGTGTCGGTGCTCCCAGACTCCCGAGGGAAGGCCCTCATCTCAGACCTGATGATTGGAATATTTATTTGCATAGTTGAAAACCACTTTCTACCATCAGAGCAGAATAACTAGGCTTATAAAGAGGGAGGAGGGGAGTCATAGGTAGTAAGTAAGCGAAGGAGTGAATCAGACAGAGATACAGCCAGAGCAAGACACAGAAAGCATGCACATAAGCCCGAGGTTTTCCTTTACTACTAGTTGGAGCCTTTCATCTGAGTTTCCTTTTACTTTTCGTTCTTCCTGAAATTCCATGCCCTTCCCTGCAGGCAGTGACCAGGAAGAGGTTAATGGTGACTGACCTTGAGCACTTGCTCCACTCTGCCTGGCATGCCAGGGAAGCCAGGCGAGGGAAGGTAGAGGCTGAGAGCTGCCTGGGGTTTTTGCCATGACCAGTGAGCCCAGTATGCAGGGCAGAGGTGAGGCTGGCAGCCTTAACGCAGGCAGCATCTGCCACTGTCTGCCCTGGGCTTATGTGGGGAGACTTTTCACCCAGAGACACCTTTGCTACCTGCTTTGTGCTGCCAGGATTTTTGCGCTCAGCTGTTTTCTTGTCTCTGTTGCCACTTGGGTCAATACTCTAGTTTCTGAGCCCATGTGGAAAACAAAAGTAAAAACTGGAGAAGATAACAGCATCCACCAGTGACATCAGCCTGAGTTCCCATCACCATACTTGATCTTTGCATGATGCTTCCCATAAACTTGCCACATTCACTTTTGTGTTCTTATTCAGTTTCCATCACGGTCTGCAAAAGATGTGTGGCAGGTGGTGAATGGTAGTATCCCAAGTCCCCTTTCTTCTTGACTGTGTGTCCTACTAGAGTGGCCACAAAAGCCCTACTACAGTGTGGTGTGAGGAGAAGTCCAGGGCTGCCCTACTTCTTCCATCTCTGGACTCGTGTGTGAGGGCGTGATGCTTGCCATCTAGGAAACATGAGCATCCTGAAAGCCAGTGAGGCGCTAGCCTAGGCCCTGATGTTGCCCTGCTGCAGAAGCAGCCCTGGGAAAGGGGACTCTTGGGACTCCCTATCTGGTAAACAGAGGCTGCCCCATGGGTTAGGCCACTGCTGGTTTTGTGGCAGCCAA